TCCGTCCTGGCAGTGCCTGCTCGGGTGAGGTGACGCCCCGAACGCATCAGAAGGCAGAGCTGGGGGCAGAGGATCCCTTTCCCCGAAGTGGAGGCTTCAGAGCCTGCAGCACATGGGAAAACCTAGCAAGGGACCCGAGTGAAACTTCGGATTGCACTTCTTGGTTGACCTGGTGTGCCTGGAAAGCACCGGCTCTGTCACTGGGGTGAAGTTACAACAGAGCGTGGATTGAGCAGCGTGATCTCTGCTAGCCTGTGCCTTTATAGTTTGCCTTTACTACACTTTTCCCTCTCTTTCTTTGTTTTATCACAAAGAGAGTTAAGAGTTGTAGGCTGATCTTCAGATAAGAAGGGTTTGTTTTCAGAATTCTGAAGTACTGAAATAAAGTAAAAGTAAATATACAGGTTTTTGGATAGACTAAGCAGGTTTTTTTTCCCTGTGTCTGTCTTCACTTGGTTACTTGCAGTGAGTCTTTCTTTTTAGTCCAGATTAGTCAGGCTCTTCAATAGAAAACAATATAGACAAACAGTAACAAATGGTTCCAATTGTGTGTGTGGTGCAGGACACTGTCACAGTTTTGCTCCTGTGGTGCCTACAGTCAGGGGGAAAGGGTTACGTGTTGGTGTCTGTGTCTCAGCTAGAGCGTATGGTATGTGTCTGTGGCTGTTAGCTCACTTGCTGAATCGTCAAAGTGATGCTGGACCCTTCCACTTTAGGCTTCAATCACTCTTCGGTCGAAGAGCTTCTGTTGCACGTAAGGGTGTCTTGTAGCTCATACCTCATGGGTTTAGAGGTAGCCAGGTGATGAGGGTCATGACGGAGTTCTGCTGCGTGAATGGGTAGAAATACTGTTGATTTGAGTAGCTGTGCAGTTGTGGGTGCTAGAAGGCTGAGGGACGTCTGCGGGGGGGTGTGAACAGGACTCAAAAAGATCAGGTCTAATATCAAGGGCTTCCATTGGCTCTTTTGAGAGGTTGAATGTGTTTTACTGTTAGGAAGCTCTCTGTGACGTTGTTCTTAAACTGGAGCAGGTTGCCAAACCAATGTAGGAACGGTCAGTTAGATTGATCAAATATTATGATATTCTTCCCACCTTCTACTGATGAAGTAGATATCCGCAGCTATGGTACTGTTTTGTAGTAAGTTAAAAGCTTGGCTTATGACTTAGGATTTAAGTTAGACTAATAACACCATTTGCTCTATTTTTGGAAGAAGGAGCTACTCTAAAAGGGGAAGTCCTGTAGATTATATTCAGCGGAAACTGTTTAAGAAGCCACCTCTGAGAGGCAGTTGCCTTGTACTAAGGGACTAATCTCTCAAAAAAACCTGCTGCGTTACCTTTTATTAAATAGCTGTATTTTGAAACTCTTTTTCATGTTGTTCTAACTCATGTTTAATTTTACAGCTACACCTTGTACTGTAAAAGGCAGAGCGGAAGTATATTTTGTTATAGTCTCCTGAAAAACTACATTCATTTAAAATTTGAGGTTTTTATTATTGCAGTGAAGTGTTACTAAAATGGTTAACCCTTGTTCCAAATCATGGCATATTCATTTTATTACAGTTCTTAATGAAAAGAGCAAAGTGAGAAGACAGGGCTTCTTTTTTTGTCAGAAAAGAGTACAAAGATTTTGTTTTAATTTTTTATTTTCTCATCCTTTCATTTCTGTTCTTACAAGCTGTTGTGGCAAGACAAGATGACTATGGCTCTCTTGTTAGGTGCAAGCCCATGATAATTTAAATGATTATCTGATCAGTTCCAAGGAGTTGAAAGGGATCAGGTGCATTCTGGCTAAAATCTGCCATTGCTTACTACCCTTAAAAGCTGTCTGCTCTCTCTCAGTTGCAGGATTGGGGTATATGTATTTTTTCCAGTGTTATAAGGAAAGGGTACTCCATTTTCTTGTTACAATAACAAGCTTATAGCTATTAAACACCAAAACCTGTGTGATACTTTGCAAAACATGGAGTGAGACATGGTTCCTGCTGTAGAGCACTTCAGGTTCACTGTGGGCAGTGCAGAAGAGGCCACCCTGCAGGTAAGAAGCGACGATTATTTGCTTCTGTGTTAGCTTACAATAAAAGTTGTTCGTTGAAGTGGTAGAGTTCAAAAAGGGATTGGAAAGATTGCACCAGACAGCTTCAAAGACAGACAGATTACACCAAAAGCAGTTAGTGACATGATGTTGAAAGACAGTTTTGTGGCATTATTGAGAGACAGCAGAAAAGAGCGCTCTTTAGTGAAGAGCAGGTCAGGAGATAGTGACATGGGGTGAGGGGGAGGAGGGTTGGAAGAAGTTATGAAGGGGAAGCGAGAAGTGGCATGGTCGAATTAGCTATCAGCACGGAAACTGAAACTGCTTGTGATGGAGAGTGGTGGACTGCAGAGAGAGGAAGAGAACCGGAGGAAATACTGTGGCTGGTGGCTGCATGTGGCCAGAGGTTCTTTAAACCTGTCCTGCTCGGGGATGTGGTTAAGGGGGATGGTTGGGAACTGTGTGGCAGCAGCTCTTGCTACATGTGTGAAAATGATATGCTTCCTTCTTTGTGCATGGATGAAAAAGCAAGTTCCAGGGCATCCTGTTTGTAAATAAACTTGCTGAGGAATAATCAAGCTTGTAATTAGCTGTTTGATGCAATGGTGTGTGGGAGACCAAAGCACAGAATCTTACTAATATTTGTGAGAGCTGCTGCGTATGCCTCTGTCTTTTGGCTGTTTTGTGCCAAGATGTGTCCTGAGTGTATGCGCACAAATACCTGCCACCTGACCGGAGAGTAAGGAAAAGTAGACTGTGTAGGAGAAACATAGCCATGAAGTTTTAAAAGTTCGTAAACTGAGACTTTCTAGACATAGCCAACATTTGTTTCAGTATTTACTCATATTTTCCCCTCATTTTCTTTACAGTTCACAGAAAGACAGTTAGCTGGTTTGAATTCTCGTATAGGTCAGACTGTAAGAGTTTACGCAAGCTGATGTCATAATTTCTTGTGTTACTTTGTCATTGGATTGCCAGGCTTCAGTGATTAGCACTTTTTCTTAGCTCCTCCTAATGTCATCTCCTTGATGTAATATCAAGAAGACAGCAACACTGGCTGCAGAGCCTGTGAGGCTTCTCAGATTTCAGAGGTCTCTTCAGGCAGAAAATTGATGCTTCTTTAGGAATATAGGGCAAGAAGAAGAACAAACCTGCGGCAGTTCACCATGGGGACAGCATTTTGGTTATCTGAAGATAGCATTGGCAATATTTAAAAAAAAATAAATTCATGGGAGGGTAGAAACATTTTGAGTATGATTCAAATCTGCTGTAAGTATCTCTTCTCATGCTGATATCTAGATTGTCAACACGTAGGACAAAATGGATTTCCAGATATTTCTTACAGTAGTGGAAATTAAATTATCCTTTGTTTCAAGAATGAAAAGTTTAACTTCCAGCTCGGATAGAACTCATGAGGTTGTTGTGGGACATAATTCTACAAATACCATAAAACAATAAAGAAATTCCTATGGGAATGGTGATTTCTGGTAAGAGCTGCTGCTGTCTTTACGTCAGTTAGAGAAAATCTCTGTGAGCAAAGCTATCTCACTGTATAAAATAAATAAAAGCAGATCTGATGCTTGAAAGGAATTTGGTAGGGTTGAAGTTTGTGGTTTTTGATGTCTTAGGATACTTGTGAAGTCATCAAATAAAGATGAATATAGTCAGGATTGGAACTTCATTGAAGGTAGCATCTCTTACTTTGGACCTACCAGTAACAGTTGCAATTTTCTGCCGAAAAAAAACAGTATTGCTGTTTGAAGGCTTCAGAGGTGCTGTTTTGGTAAAGGTGCATTTGGATAGAATGTGTGGTGTGTTATGCTTGCATTTTACATTTGATATGCATGTGTGATTTGTAAGTGGTATACTTACTACAGAAAACCTGCTAGATATTACAGAAGAGGATTCTATGCGTCATTGTACTAGGTACCATTTTTGGCTGTCTAATCAACAGTTGCTTGTGTAACCGTCCCAGGAAGTAATCCTTCCCGGCTGCTGGTTATACTGGCAAAAAAAGCTAGAGGCTTGGTAAGTGAAATAAACTGCCAAGGTCAAAGCAGTTTGTGCAGTGTGATTGCATTTAAGCTATTTTGGGGTAGGAGATGGCGGCAGAAAATGTTACTGAAACACCAAATATTGCTCCTTTAGAAGATGTTTTTAACATAGTTCTGCTTTAGTTTGAACATTTTTTTGTGTGTTTCCGATGTGTTCTTTAGTTTTATTTAGGCTTAAATACTTTGTTTCTTGTGACCTAGGTATTATTTGTTCTGGCATTTCAATGGTTTGCATTCTTTGTGTTTTTCTCTTTTGCGCTTATTACTCAGGTATGCTTACATGTGGTATTTCTTCCAGGTCTTCTTTCTTGTTTTTTTCCCTGTGCTTTTTCTGTCACATTTTAGAGATGTAAATCTGTGTTTGTAGCAGTGGGGTTGTACATGCCGTTAGAGATGTGCATACAAAAGCACAGGGGGAGTTATGGCCCTTAACGTGATTTTTCTGTATTTTGGGCTAAACAGATCTTGGCTGACTTTATTTTGGTCTGGAACACTGCGTACTTCTGTGTTAGAAGACTGAGAAAGCAGTTAGAGGTATGGTGCAGCTGGAAGAGAGGCACTGGTCTTGCTGGGATATTTAAATCACAATTCATTGCATGCAGTAGCTGCTCCACCCAGCTCTCAGTTTTTAATAGATTCTGCAGCAGCGCGTCTACCAGTGTCACTGGTACCGCTCTCTGGGAAGGCTGTTGGGACTTTCTTTCAGGATAAAATGGCAAGGATGCTGTTAATGTTAGCCATGTATTTGAATGGACAGGAGTCTCTGTGAGGTTGCTTTAACTTACACAAATGTAATTTTTAAAGAAATAAAAGTGCTATTTTAAATAGTGAATGTTCTCACTTTTCTTTCCTTTCCTTTTTTCTTTCCAGGACACTGAAAACTACAAAAGTTTGATTAAAAAAAAAAAAAATGCCCAGAAAGAGTATTGACTATGGAGTGCTGCCGGAGTATGAGAAAAGCCAGATCAAAAGGACCTTGGAGCTGGGAACTGTTATGACAGTATTCAGTCTTAAGAAGAGTAGTCCAGAAAGGAGGACTATTCAAGTCATAATGGAAACCAGACAGGTAGCATGGAGCAAGACAGCTGACAAGATCGAAGGTTTCTGTGAGTATTTGCAAAGTGTACCTGAACTTGGAGTTATTAATAAATTGATGTATTGATTTAATGAGACTTTGTTAACATAATGAAGTTTTTGGCTGAAAAGAGTCTGGTAATTTGCTGAGAATTTTCTGAATTGTTGCAATGTAGGTGAAGAATCTTCTGCAGCTCATTATTTGGGTATCTAACACTACTTAAAGATGATTAACGTGCTTTTACCTTAAGCCCTGTTCTCAAAGTTTTCATCTTTGAATATGACAAAGCTTGTATTCTCTAGGAATTGCGTTACCGAGTGACGACTGTTTTCCATCATTAAGCCTCCGGAAGTATTGTAAATTCAAGCAAGTAGTACTTCTTTACCCCTTCTCTCTCCAAAAAGGAAAAAACTCCACTACAAGGAAACGGAATTCAAATTTCCATTTTCTTAGGGAATTTGCTGTTTCAGGATAGAAATCGTTATTTAGGACCATTATTGGAAAGTACCAATGACTTAGGAGGATGAAGCTGTGAGGTGTAAGAGGTGGCTTCAAGGTCCTGAGCTGATACTCTTTAGTTGATGTTTCAACTGACTAAATGAGATCAGGAAATAGAAAGGGAGAGTAAAGCTACATAGGACTGCAAAAGCTATGGTACAAGAGTAAAGTGAGACTAATTTTCAGTTCTTACTGAACACAGCTGATGTCAACCAAGCTCAGCCTGTGCTTTTTGGGATTTGTACAGCCCCTGTTAGTATAGTGTAGTTACAGTGCTTGCCTATGACTATGTGGTAATGAGTTTTATTTATTGCGGGAATGATTTTACTATGCAACTACTAAACGGTGTTTGTCTTCAATAAAGGTATTGAATTGTTTGCTGGAGTTGCCAGAATCATTTATTGGTCAGCCTCAGCTGATACGAGAAGCTTGGAGTTGAGGAACTGGGGCTATTTGGGAAAAGGAATTGTAATAAGAAGTGGGAGTTTGGAGTTGGAGAGCTGGGAAGGCTGAGCAGGTATATATCATGCTGTTTCAGTGCTGTTTCAGTTCTGTGCCGCCCACAGAGCAACCGTGACTGGCACCAGTTACTCCAGTAGTGCAATGGACAGGAGCTGTGCTCCTGGTATTCTCTCTGGATGTGAGCACACACAAATGCGAGAGAAACTGGGAAGGAGCAGAATGGAGTTTTGTCTGTCAAGTTGTGGATTTTTAGAAGGTTTTTTTTTGTAAATACACAGTAAGTTAAAAATGGGTCGATCTGTAAGGTTGCAAAGACAGGCACTGAGAAGTTGCATAGTTTTTGGATTATCTGTGCAGCTTCCCTTCACGCTGCTTACTTACAAGCATTAAAGCTCTGTTTGCTACTGTTTCCATTGGCTCCTGTCTCATTCCTTGTGCAGAGCGGACCTGCAGCTGGAAATAAAATGCGATGGAATGAAAGACCGGTTGTCTGGAGGATGATTTTGTCATTGGTGGTGAAAATGTGGTTATATGCAGTGTTCTGGGGAAAAGCAAGCAGGGCTGGACACCCTATTTAATAGGTACTCTGGATCATAATCTTGCAGTGCCCCTGTTTCTCGTGTGGAACGTGAGGCTAATTATCCTTTCCTATAATGATGTGTGTGAGTGCAAGTACGTTACTGGTTCTGATATGCTCAGATCCTGAAGTGATGTGTGCCAAAAAAAGAAGTCCTGAGAGGAGATGAAGGTTTCGGTTATGAGAGCATGGCTTGAAGATGCTTAGTAGATAAAGCCTGGGGTTACACACAGAACAGCAAGATTAAAACAAAATAGAAAATGACCACTTAGTGGGTGAACGAAGCATTGTAGTCCTCTGGCAAAACCAATATGTGATCACATAGCTGAAGACTTACTGTAGCCATTTGCACAGAGGGGCCAAATTTAAAGCCATGCAGGCTGTGCATTCCAGATTTTGGGGTCAACTTTGTCAGGGCTTGACTTGTAATCTTCTTTTATCAAAGCTTCCCGAGGGTGGTGTGTGTTTGTGGTAATGCATCCTGATAATTAAAGAGGTTGCTCTATGCATAGTTTTAAACTTTTACAATAAGGTGAATATTATAACTTAATTCTTATACCTGGATAATCTAGCAGGGTAATGGCTTGCTTCAAGTTACACAGGCAGTCATTACTAGAATGGGAAATATAGCTATAGACCTGTGATTTACCCAAAGGCCATCTGCCTCTCTTCCTGAAAATTGTAGTACTGTAGCAGTTTTTTTCAATTGAGCAACATTCAAGTGGCCTTTATAACGATGGAAACTTTAGGTCGGAGAATATGTTGTACTCTAAAGCACTAATTTGTAAAACATTGTTTTGTTGTCTGAAAGAGCAGTGAATCTGCCCAAAACCAAGACGTATTTTGCAGGCATTGTTTCAGAATATGATGTGTAGAGTTGTTTCAGTTAGCCATGAACTATATCTGCTCTACTTGAAACAAAAGCCACTGCAGTTTTAACTTGCTGACTGTGTTTTTCGTGAAGAGGAAGGAAATAATTATTTATTTATTTAAATTTTGCTACTGCTTCTTTCGACTGAGGCTCAGGCTTCCTTTTTGCTTGAAAAGTGGAAAGATTACGGATTTGAAGCTTTCATATTTGATATTTAAATAGATGGACTTCTTGAGTACCGACGACGGGAATTAAAATCTTTATTTCTCTGGAACTATACTGAGGAGATGGTACCGACTTTGTGATAGGAGAATAGTTGATTTGGCTTGTATACATGAATGACCCCAAGTATTCACTAGTGGATTGTGTTGACCGTGAAAAATAAAACCCATGTTTTTGTGTGTGGGTTTGGGTGGTTTGGTCTTTGTTTTTTTTTTTTTTTAGTGGCCGAGGGCATAGAATTATCATCTGAAGTAGTATACTGTTTAATATGCTTGTCCTGTCTAAGAAATAATATTTGCAATGTGATCTTAATGGTTTTTATTTGCGTGTGCTGCAGTCCAATAAGAATTAATATCGAGTATGGGTGGGAAAGTTAAGATGGCTTCCTGTTGTGTGTGTGCGTGCCTTTTAACGCAAGTTTGGCAACTGCTCTTTGCAGAAGGCAGAAAACTGAATGTTTGCATCTGCTGTGGGGTTTGTATTTCTAAATCAGATAGTGAGGAGAATTCTTAAGCTTTGGGACACAAAAATAGGCTGCTAGTGGGTAGAGAAGATGGAGACCGACTTTAATACTTTATTTTAATACTCTTCCTTTGGAACTGAAGAAAAAGATTTTTTTTCTCTCTGTAACTGCCCCATATAGTGTTGGAAATTTTGCATGTCATAGTGATTACTTTCTTGCTGGTGAACTGTAAATGTGTGAAGCATGCTCAAATTCCTCTAAGCCGGAGTTGCTCATATTTATTACAAGGGCCTTTTTCAAGTTTGGTTAATATTATTTTGGAAGTGGTTTAAGTTAAGCCTTACAATAACAAAAAGGCAGCTACTCTTATTCTGAAATAAATTGACCTGTGAAAGGGACATGTAGGATTAGCTATACTGATATAAATGTTTAGACAACCCCATGGCCCCAAAAGTGGCAGCACTGTGTATTTTAAATTGCATTACTCTTGAAAGGGTCCCTTTCATTAAAAACCTGTCAGCATTTCTGTTCAGAATAGAGCGAAAGTGTTGCTAAAATTATGGCTGTTTCCTGCTCAGTGCAGATGTGTTTCTCTGGATGAGCAAGTAAAATGGAGATACCTTTCCTTAGCAAATTCTTTCTAGACCCAGGCCTTTGGTGTGGTAACAAGTGAGGATGTACAAAGGCTAGGAAATCTGGTTTAAACAGTCTCTGTCTTCATTGTGCAACTCAGACCACACAGTGTCTAAGTACTGAAGGTTTTACATTGACCTGCTGAAAGACTTGAATCACCATATACAAAAGCAATTTTCTAACAAAAATGAACTATTTCAGCAGTAGATCAGAAGGCCAAATTTTAAGCTGCTACATATCAAGTAGGTCGCCTCACTTTGATAGAGCAATTGAGATTTTTAGTCACTTTTTTTTAGCTTGGGAGTGACTGTGGGGCTGAGAATAGTGCTGCACAATTTCTTGTTTCTTCAGATGCAGGGTTTTCTGTTAGCTTCTGGTAAGTTCTAGCTTTACCAATCAGAGAGGGAGCATTATGTACCAGCTCTTCCATTAGTGCTAGTCCTTCCCTGCTCACTTGCAAGAGAGGGGAAGGAGCAACCCATCAATGTCTGCTCACACCATTCCTGAGTTGTCCTAAAGGTGTTGGTTAACCTGGGCATGAACAGTCTTTCTTTCCTGTAGAGCTGTGCAGCCAAGAGTTGTTCAAGTCACGTGAGTTCTTGGATGGTGTCTCAGTTTTGATGAGATCAAGCTAGCTGTTGAGCTTGTCCAAGATAATCAGACTTGCTGAAGATGGTAGATTTTGCTGTTTGTAAGGAAACTCTGATCCTCATGTGCAGTCTGCGTTTCTTGGGTTTACTGTGATTCTGCTGTTGTAAAATGTAATGCTTTGTAGGCCCAAACAAAGATTAAGTTATGTGACTGCAGGCTGTCTTTCCTTTCCTTTTAGCCTGTAAGGTTAGGATGGACTGGTAAATGAGCACCTTTCAAGAAAAGTTAAATCAAATTAGTCCATGTTTTCCATTTTGTGGGAGCCTCAAGTTTCCGTCTAGATGAAAGCGGAAAGATTAGCAGTGGAAAGAGAGGGGCTGCCCACCCTGGAGTGTTTTTCAGGTTGACTGGAGGCCAGGAAGGTTTTTAGTGCTGCTGCTCTTTCAGTCACCCGCGAAGACTGCGGAGTACCTTACGCATACCTTTCCTACATCAGCTGGGTCCAACACAACCCATTGCCAAAATCGAAATGGATAGACAGGAGGTAAATTTGAGAAATGTTTTTATTGTGGATGTTTGGCGTGCAGGGTTTCGTTAGTGTATTAAAATGAATGCCAGCAACATGTGCTTCCTTATGTGGGCCTGCAGAGAGCTATGCAAATAGCTGAAAGAAGCAGGTCTGAGCTAGACGTGGCTGTGTTCACCCATGCTTGG